AGACTTCCAGAGGAGCTGCAGGCAGAGCTGGGACACAGTGCAAGCATTCCAGCGCTCCATGTCCTTCTCAGAAGACCAGGGAGGGTGTCCCTGCCTGGGGGCTATGAAGCCCTGGGAGTGGTCTACACTGTTTTATACCAGCCGAGTGTAACTGGCTTGCACTGATTCTTGAAGGAATGGAATTAAGATCTCTCAGGACAAAGTGGTCCTTTTTCATACATTCTAGAATAAAAGGAGACTGGAAAAAAGCCATGCCGTAAGAAGGGGTGAGCTATATAGTCATAGAGCTATTAACGTTTCAATCAGTGCAGGAGCAGTATTAGTATGGACAACAGCAGGCTCTGTTGAAAAGGTGGGGATATAATTGATACTGGCTGATGTGATTTAATGAAAAAATAGCCCTTTTCTAATGTGCTTAATAGTGCTTTTAGGGGGGAGCTGTGGTGATGAAATAGATTTATAAATGAATATGACTTGCTATCAATATTTGGCTTAAAATGTCATAAAATCCATATTAAATGGACTAAAAGAGGCTTAATGAGACATTTCAAAGTGTTTTTAGTGTTGGGAAGCATCAGTGAACAGGGATATGTTTGCTTGGTCTGTGGTCCAGTGTTACTCAAAACTTTTTTAGTGATCAAGAGGAAATGTTTAAGGGGCTGTTAATGAAGATGGATGATGAGACAGAGCTTTGGGAAACTGGAAGGCAAATTACTCAAATTACAGCTTTTTCTGTTGTCTGATGCCCACAAACAAGAACAATAGTCAGACAAAAAAGAAAAAAACCAAAACACACCACCAACCCACTTATTTCATTAGCAAACCCAAACCAGGAGACAAAAAACATCCATTTGGGCTGAACAAAATTCTTCCTTTGATACAAGATGAAACGTTTTCTTCTGAGAAGTAGACAGCCCAAAAGCTGAAGGTTGAAGCAAACAGAAACCCAGCCAAACCTCCTCAAATTATTAGGAAGTTCCAAGCACACAAATGACAAAAATCCACTGATGTTGTAGATATAAGTAGAAAACAACTGAGAACACAGGAAAATTGTATGAGCTCTATGTTTGGTTGCATGAATGATATGAAGTTGGGGCTGAGGAATGTGCAGAATGAATGTGCTAACATTTACAGAGCTGCTTTGCCTTTCAAAGTTCATCTTTGCCTCATCCAGGAGTAGCAGAAAGGTGACTAGGTCAGCCTAGAGGTGCATCCACTTGAGAAGGTTTCTGTGTGAACAGTGAACTAACCATGTGGTAGAATGGTGAGTCATGCCTCTCATCAGGGCTAATTTGGGAAGAGATGCTCTCTCCTCAAAGGCTGCCTCTGGGGGGCTGGTTGTGAGGGCTATGGCTGTGGTCACGTGTGAAATCAAAGGGGTGCATTGCAGAGACATGGGAAAGAAAAATTTCCTCAGACTATTCTGTGGGACAGTGTTTGTGGGAATCCCGACGCTGGCTGGAGCGCCCTGTGGGGACAAGCGTGGCCTCTTCATGTGTCTTTTAGAGAGGTCAGGCCATAGCCAGTGCCCTGGGACAGGAAATGTGGCACAGGCACGTGCTGAGCTGATTCATCCAAACTCAGACCCAAATGGTCCTTCCAGGGCTCTCTGCTCCCAGCTCATTAGCTGTAGTTAAATCAAAGCACACATACGTGTTGAGAAGATGGAGCCCTTGTTACTGGAAGGAAATCTTACCCACTAAAAAGTGTGCTGGAGAAGAAATCAGTGGTAGGGGTTGCACTGGGAGGGATTTTGTGTAAAGAATGCTTGGGACTGGGGGTATGGGAGAAGCAAATCAGGGAGTTCAGCACAGCCCCAGACCCTCTTGCTGCAGTAGGGCTTGGCACTGGGGCCACTCACATGTGACCAGGGCAGCTGCTGGCACAGGGCTTCTGCAGCCTTAGGGACCAGTGCCACCCCAATTACTGCTTCTCAGGGGTATGGGACGTGCTCTGGTTCCTCTCCAAAGCTGTCTGCGGAACAAATCAGGGGCCAGCCACACACTGGGATGGGGATGCTTATGAGAAAGATGGGTGATACTCTGCCCAGTGTCCCCCTGTGCACCTAAGCAATTTGCTAGCCCAATCCCAAGGTGCCTGGCTGACTTTGTGAGACATGAAGAGGAGGGAGAGTGGGCCACCATTAGCCTCTGCAAGGCAGAGCAGGGAAGGCAGCAAGGACAGAAGAGGCTCTGGCCCAGCAGCACATCTTCACAGCTTCTGTGTCACACCCTTCTCCATTTCCAGTGACGCAGAGCAGCTGCCTCCCCTGTGCGCTCCTGCATCCTGCAGCACACTGCTCTGAGAGGGGAGGGGACTCCCCACGCTCTCAGGAGGGCAACAACCTATAGTAGCTCTGCTCTGGGCAATGACCACGGAAGCAGCATTCCCCGTGCTCCCTGCCTCCTCCCACGGCCTGCCGCTTGGCTGCAGCTGAGCCGAGGGACACGTCCCACACGCTTGTGTACGGAGGTGGGCACGTGTGTGTGACGGTCTTCCCCAGCAGTGACGGTGGGAGGGAAAGCTCCGCTCCACAGCCTTGTCTCTGGCTGCTTGGGGGGGCAGGGCAGGGGATGCAGCAGGGATGAGTGGGTGGGCAGTGAGGGATGCCACAGTGGGAACCGCAGGCATTTAATATTGCGCTGTCTTTGGGTGCTTCCAAAGCGCCAGCAGCTGAGAAACGTGTGGGCCAGGGAGCCCCCGGCCCATCCTCACTGCTGGCTCCTCCACGCCGCAGGTGAAACGAGCCAGAGGTGACGTGGCTGGCACAAAAAGTGACACAAGCGGCCGCTTCTCTAACTGGCAGGGAGGGGGAGATTCTGGTGCTTGTCTGTGCCCTGGGCGAAGAGGCCTGATTATGAAGGGTAAGAGTTGGAGAGCAGTACTTCTGACTGGGGACCAGCTGGAGCAGCTAAAAGGGCATTAAAGTGCAACAGCTGGGAAGCCCAGCTTGGAGGAGAGTGGTGCACAAACCCAAACTCCTCGCATGGGGGCCAGACTGAACCAGTCTGTGTTAGTGAACTGGAAAAGGGGACATTTCAACTGCAACAGTTTTAGGAGTCTGCATGCCCAATCCAGGGGTGGGGTGGTCTTAATTGCAAAGCCCTTTGGGCTTGCTGTTGTGATGGCAGTGCTAGACATTTCTTATTACAGCCGCTCACTCAGAAGTTGAGGAATGCAGAAGGTGACCTGATGTTGGCAACACCAGCATCCAGGTGTCATTAGAGCCATGTAGCTAATGTGCTTACAATCCACAGAGAAGTGTGATATTTCTAAATCTGTTTACATGGCGACTTGTAGAGAAACTGCAGAATTTCTGTGTTCTGCAGAGGTTCCCTGCCCCAGCAAGCAGCTTTTGAGACCTTCCTGAGCCAGGAGGTCAGGGTGTGGCTGCTAGGGTTAGAGCTTGCAGACATCTTGACAGTGTCAGCCAGCTGAGCTGATGAATTGCTTAAATAAAAGTGCTGCGGTTGCACACAAACAACAGTAACATTGCAGAAGTTTGAGATTAAAATTAATGATATTAAATATTTAGTAATTAATTAATTAGTTACAATTTTTCTCTCTTGGTTATATTCTGCCCTATGGCTTCTCTCCTCCCCAAACAGAACACACCAGAGAGCTTCAACACCAGTTCTGCCAGCGCTCAGTTGTATCCTACAGATCCACCCAAGTGTTGTCAGGTCACCAACACTGAAAGCACAAGGGGATTAATTCATTTAAGTTTTACACTGCCCCATGTTGGAGCTGATTTTTAGTCCAAACAGTGCAAGACTTAAGTCCTGTTTCCTCAGGTTGGGCAACAGGATAGTCACATTTGTACAAAAGCATTTAAAATTAAAGTGTTGCCTTTCAGCACAGTTAATGACCTGAGAGGGTGCAGTATGCCAAAGGAGATAAACTAGTCTGGGATTTGGGTTGTCTGTGCTGCTGGCTGTAGACTCTAGAGACACAGGAGGGAAAGGCTCACCCTGCAACTTCTGCAGACCATGGGCAAAGTATTTAAAGGTTTCTAGGGAGAGGGGAGCTCAGCAGTGGGTAGCATGGGCAGGCAGCCTGCTGCTGAACTGAGATTTCTTTATTTCATAGCAGGATGAACAAGATGAAGTGCAGCAGACCATATACATGTCCATCTGCCCAAAGCTTTCCTCTCTTTTATGATTATACAGGCTGTGCCGAGATACAGTTTGATAAATATCAGCCAATTCTTCTTCTCCAGAGGGACAACTGCCTTCTGTACCCTCCAAGGGCTGAGAACAAGTGGTGTAGCTAGAGTTATTCTCCTCTCCCTTGGGACTACAGCAGTGCCAGACAGTGCAGTCACCACCAAATATCCCCACAGCCAGGTGTTTCATGGGTTCATACTTTAGCACAGGGTAGCCTCAATGCTGCCACAAAGTCCTCTCTGGGCAGGCACAGTTATGCTCCCTTGGAGACCTGGGGACTTCTGAGTCCTGAGGTCTGGCTTTTGATGAGGGGCAAATGCAAATGGAGAAGTGAAGCACTGCAGTGGCACCCAGATACTTAAGACAGCCATGTCGTTCAACCTTCTGTCTGTTTCCTACACATGTATGTGAGCTGTCCCCAAATATGTGTGTGCTGGGACACGCAAATCTTGTATTCCGCTAGTGATATGCCCTTCAGAGCTTTTTTTTTCAGCCTCACCAAAGGCATATATCCACATGCCTCTAGAATAAAACAGGACAGTCTCATCTGCATAGCTGGCTCCCTGGTAAATTTCCATTTTTCTTTCTTTAGAGTTCTGCGTTCATTGGGATTACGGGAACACTTTGCGTTTAAAATTCTTGTCCCTTGCTTTCCCCAGCTTACTTTAAATAGAGGGGAAAATGAACTGAGGAACCAGCTAAGCTGATCTTAGTTCTGAGAACTGATTCTCTGACCCTTTTTACTGCCTGTACCCCTCCGAAAATCTCCTCCAGCTTTTATCTGCACTGTTCTATCTCTTGCAATAGAGGAAAAACTCTGAAGCTCTTCCCGTCCTTTTAAAATAATCCACCTCTCCAAGCCAAACACCAAGCTTCATTTCTGGTAAGGTTTTCAATCCCACTCGGTCTTTTGTCTTGGTTTATACGTCACCCTCTTCCTCTTGGGTGGGCAAAAAGGGGACGGGTGCTGCCGCTGTGCTGACTGCTGACTGGGTCGCCCAGCACTGCTGGGCTGGCGGGGCTAGGCTATAAAACGGAGCCAAGGCAGCGCAGCCGGCTCAGAGGCGAGCCCGGATTCCGCAGGCGGCGCAGGACCCGCACGCAGCCTCTGCCCCCTCCGGCGCTGCTGCTTTTCCTGGAACACAGAACCAACCGACCCCGGGAGCAAGATGTGCAAGGGACTCGCTGCACTGCCAGCCACTTGCTTAAAAAGGTACTGTTTATTTCTGAACATCTGTTAATGAATGGTCTTGTGAGTCTGGAGATACGCTGATGTGTTGCACTTTGTGTCTGAAGCAGGAGTGGTGGATTTGGCTTTGATTCTTCTGTAAGATTAGGTACAAATGATTGCTTGCAGGCTTTTTTTCCCCCTGTTACTCAGAAGCAGAATTGCATAAAGGTTTTGTGTTGAGCTGCGGGTACTCTAAACCCATCCTTCCCATCAGCAAAACAAGCAGCTCTCAGCATTGCTGTATTTTGATATTCCTGTCATCTGCCTCTGCCGCAAGCTTTGCACCCCTTTTCTCCTCTGAATCCTTTCTCTGCTGAATTTTCTTTCATTTGATTTTTTGAGGGGGAAGCAAGGCAGACGGGATATCTCTGAAGTTGAGGGTCATTCCCCAAAACGCACCCCAGATGCAGAACCCCAGCCTGGCAGGACCAGAGACCCGTCGGGCAGGGCAGGGATGCGAGGCAGCCGGGGCATCGTGGATCTGGATGTGGCGCTGGCCGGTGCGGCGTCAGCCTGTATCCCCGGCTGTGCACTGATGCTGCGGGACTGGCTCAGGCTGTACCCTCGGGGCACAGCGCCGTGGGGCTGGTGTGGGGCTGCCATATCCCTGTTGTGTGGGGCTGATCAGGATGGGCTGTACCCCTGCCGTGGGAGCAGGATCTGACTGCACCCCGGTGTGCGGTACCAGCCAGGCATCCCTGTGGTGGCAGAGCAGAGTCTGGCTACCCCCAAGCATGACCTGGGCAGCATGACTTGCCCACAGCCTGGCGTGAGGGGGTCTCCATGCCTGAAAGGGGGCCAGGACCCCTCCCGTAAGAGTGTTACTGCCTTTCAGGACACCCTCAGCAGGATGGCCCAGGTCCCCAGAATTGCTGCAAAACTCCTCAGCTCCCAGCCCATGCAGACTAACACAGGTTTCTGATGGTGCAGCACTACCTTCCTGGCCACTCCTGAGGCTGTTTTCCAGTGGCTGCGCAGTGGGAGAGTGTTGGGAAAATACAGACTGAAAGCTCAGCTTGCTCCCATCTGGGAGAAAAAGCTCACCACGCATGGTGGATTTGAAAACAAGTGCTGAATATGTGAGGAAAAAATACTGATACCTTCCCCTTCAATTTGCAGGAGCATTTGACAGCATTTTTTTAATTATTATTATTTTTTAAATACAAAGAAAATAAAAGTAAACATCTTTTAACCACTTCTGTCCAGGTTTCCCCCCAAAAATCCATCTCTCCCAGAAAGCTGTGGGGCTCACTGCAAGCAGCAGCATCTTGTTTCTCCGTGCTGCCACCTCCCTGCAGATGGAGCCTGCGGGCAGGTAGCGTGACAGTGCCAGGCAGCCCGACTCTGGCGGTGCAGAGCACCCAATATATGCCCAGGCAGGGCCTGGGTGTTGGCCATGGTCACGTGCACCCTGCTCTAGAGAGGCTCTGAGTTTCCCCAACTCTCACCCTAGTGCTGGCGTTGTTAAGGTGACATTCACGGTCACAAGCAAGCAGTGAGGACCGTGGCCAGGACGCTGACAGGGTGCCATGGCTGGAGCAGGGAGCAGTGCTGGGGCGCTGAGCAGCTACCAGTGCTCAGCTCTGCAGCACAACCTCTTGCATTTCTCCAGGCTCTGCTCTGAGGAGCAGGAGAAGAATTTCCTGCTCACACTATCATTGCACCCTGCAGCAGGCCAGGGCTGGCACCCCTGAGCAAGCAGGACTGATTTGCCGACCTTAAAGTGGTGTTCTCAAAGTGAAAGGAAATCCAGAGAGATGCAGAGGCGAATACCAGCTGCATACCTGGATGCTGCTGTCAGGCAGCGATTGTCCTGAGCAGGCTGGAAAGCAGAACAAAATTAAGCATGTATCCTTGGAGGATCTTGCTGTGGAGCAAGGGAGTACAGTATGGGCAGGTTGTGGTGAAGCTCCTGGCTCATCCCCTGATCTCACCCCATGGTCCTGCTCCAAGCCCTTCGCTCCTTCCCCTTCCCTCTGTGTCACAGGCAGCTGCTTGATGGGGTGGCCTGGCACAGCCCTGCTGTTCCTGCAGCTGGATGATGTGCTGGCAAGATGGCAAGGATGGCAGGAAAGGATTAGTATGGGTGTAAGAAGCAGACATTGGTAGCTGGGCAACTCAGTTCAAGGAAAAGTGACACATTTACAGCATGGTGATGCCTTTCTATCACGATATTTTAACTGTAAACAAACAGTAGGAAAAGAGCAGCTTCTCTCACTCTGCCAGCCCTGCCTCTGGGCTGATGACCTTCTAAGCAAGAAAACGGTGCTGTTGAATGTGAAAAATTACTTCTTTGACTTTGTTGTATTTGTCTAACAACACAAATGTGCATTATGTGAGGAAAGTCAGCACTGGAGTCACTAGCAGTGACCTGTATTTGTGTCACTGGGTAATGCTGAACGAGCTTATTGTGGGTGAGGAGGCTGCAGAGGGAGTTGTAATGCATTATCTTCATCTTGTTCTTGAATTGTTTCTTTCAGTGCCAAAGACATGAAACATCGTCTGGGCTTCTTGCTGCAGAAGTCAGACTCTTGTGACTACAGCTCTTCCCATGGCAAGAAGGAGAAAATATCTTCAAGCCAGAGGTAAGAGCAGATGCTGCTGTGTTGTTAAGCCCAGGCTGGCTGCAACATGTGGTTTAATCCTTCATTGGGCTGAACTTTGTTAGTGTTTCTGCTGCTGCTTCCCAGTACCTCCTGAACATCTGGATTTGAATCTGGTGTGCAATAGTCCTCAGGTGTTGATAGTCCCATTCCATGAAGAAGATTGAACTAGAGGTCCCTTTCTGCCAGCACTTCAGTGATTCAATATGCCTGTGCACATGGGAAGACTTGTGCAGTCTCCTGTGCAGGGGACTATCACCATCACAAGACCCAGTGCAACATCATATTGCAGAATCAGCATCACTGTCTTTTTGAGTTGGATGGGTGCAATGGTCCACACAGCTGCACAGAGGCTTTGGCACAGAAAACAGAGAGAGCAGCTTGTCAGGGTATCATTGCTCTCACTGAGGTGCAAGTAGATGGTGTCCTTTCCAAGGAGGCCACAGTGCACTCCTGGAATAGATTAGCCCTAGGATGTTCTGGTATGGTGGAGGAAGGAACGCAGGACATGTTCCCACATTCCTTCCTTTTCTATATAGCTACTATTCCCCTGACAGGTTAAAGAAATCAGCCCCTTGGAGTTCACTGATACAACCTGTAAAAATGATCCCAGATCCATACTCCATCAAGAGATGCAGCCAGTCACAAAACAAACACAAATTCCTCAAGAATTTTGCCAGGAAAATTCCTTTCCAGCCCATGGCTGGTGATATCCATCGCAAACCAGAATTTCTATAGATTAGATCTGGGATCTCCAGGGTCTCTGTAAAGCAAGCAGACACCTCCATCATAGTCTCTTGTATATGCTCTTACAACAATAAGGGAAAAAGTTTTTCTAATAGCGCTGAGCCAAAAAATCATTTTTTTTTCGTTTCTGTACTCCCCTTAAATCTTCCCTACATCTCTTCCTTTTTATCCTTTTAGGGTTAGCCAAGAGGAAGTCAGAAAGTGGGCAGAGTCTTTGGAAAACTTGATCCATAATGACAGTAAGTAAAGAGGATCCTTGTGCTGCCTGCAGAGGGTGTGTGCTGTGAGCAGGCCCTGGAGGGGGCTCGGGATCTTATCTCACATCTTTTCGCAGCACACCGTAGGTCCTTTGGCCACACAGGCCCCTGGGAGGGATGGTGATGGGTCCTCTTGGCCAGATCGAAGGGACAATCCCAATGTATCATGAGTGGGGCCTTGACGTACTGCTGAGCTGTCCCTTTTGTGAAGGCAACTGTTTTAGCTCCTGAGCAAGGGGAGGGGGTAAGACTGCAGCACACAGTTAACAGTGGGTTAAACAAGAACCAAGAAGGGGAGATACTGTTTGCAGCTGAGCCCTTGGGACACTTTGTCTTCCTGTCAGTTCCAGGCTACGCTGATGTCCTTGAGGTTTCCTTTGTGTTGTTCCCATGGCCTGAAACTCTGTGGTGTGTGTTGGCTGTCTCCTCAGTGCCTCCTGGGAATATGCGAGTTGCTTGTGTTCTCCTGGCTGAGACACTGACGGTCACAGTGAGGGAGCAGGCAGCTGAAGAGCCATGTGTGACATCCCCCTGGGGCCTGTCTGAATTCCAGCAGGCATGACTGACTGCCCTGGAGGCAGCCATCCATCCCTACTGCTAGCCCCAGGGGAGCTGCTCATTCAGCTCTGCAAAGGAGAACCCAGAACTGCTGTTTGCCAAGTTACTGGGGTGGACAGGTATGACTGTCCAGAGCCAACACTCTTACCTGATCTGGTTTTCCCCTAAATCTGTAGGAGGACTGGCTGCTTTCCGTGCTTTTCTCAAATCTGAGTATAGTGAGGAAAACATCGAGTTCTGGGTCAGTTGTGAGGACTACAAGAAAACCAAGTCACCAGCCAAGCTCAGCCCCAAGGCCAGAAAGATCTACGATGAGTTCATCTCAGTGCAGGCCACAAAAGAGGTATGTGCACAGAACATTTATTGGGCAAAGGTGTCACCCTGGGTTCTATGATTCTAATTTTGAACCAGGCCAGCAGCACAGGGAAGTAGAAATTGATAGTTTTGCAAGAGTTGAAGCATGCTGCTTCTTTGTTGGTTAGCAAGGAAATGGTGTCATTTTTATTGCTTTTGTTTTAAACTTGGATGGAGGGAAAGTGGGCTTAGTAACAACTGTGTGGCCATCCCATGTACACATTCAAATGGGAGAAGCCTGAGAGGACTATGATTCCCAGTGTCCCAGCTGTTGGAGTCGTCCCAGGGGGATATGTGTCCTTTTCCCCTGTCAGTTTGTCTGGCAGCAGAGGTGTGTTGGTATCCAGCTGCACAGATTCTGCCAGGGTCAGGGTCACGCCTGTCAAACAGCCATTTCAGACAACTGCCACCCAAGGAGATTTGGAGCACACCTGGTGAAGACATGCTCAGATTTTGCTTTACTTATGATAGCCAGTTCTGGGACAGATTCCACTTACACTGTCCCTTCGGCCCACAGGTGAACCTGGATTCATGCACACGGGAGAAGACAAGCCACAATATGCTGGAGCCTACACTGTCCTGCTTTGATGAGGCTCAGAGAAAAATATTCACCCTGATGGAAAAGGATTCTTACCGCCGTTTCCTTAAGTCTCCCTACTACCTGGACTTGGTCAGCCCACCTGGTGCTGGCTGCGGGCCCGAAAACTGCAAAAGAAGCCACACCCACACCTTAGACTGCAACTCAAACATCATCTCCCAGTGTGCCTGAGCCTCCAGCAAGGCAGGATCAGGCTGGGCTCTCGCAAGAACATACAGCAGCAAAAGCATTCAGAGGTGTCTCCAATAGCTGTCTAATGTCCCAGTTATATCCCATGCCATGCAACAGCCAGCATTTGTAACCCAAGACAGGCTCAGTGTGTGTAGCAAACCCTCCTCTGACTCCATCGGTGCAGGAGTGCTGGGATCTGTGTCTGACATGGAAGCTGGGTGAGGATGTTGCATGTCCACTGTGTTTCTGGTGAGCCCTGCAAGCCCAGGAGGGTGGAGGAGGAGCACAGGCTCAGACCCAGCATTACCCACCAAGGGACCGGACTTGCAGTATCACAGTGTGACACATCACAGTGAGCAGGGGAAAGAAGAAGCCAAGAGAAGCCTTGGGCACCATGATCTCCCCTTTCTCATGGGCAAAAGCTTAGGTGTAAAGGACCTGCTCTGGTCCTTAGCTGTTCATGTAGCTCCCAAGTGTGCTGGCTTGCAGAAGTATTTGCTCAGAACTCGGGCTGTGCTGCATTACAGCAGTCAGGCATACGAATAGCTCCTTTCTTGAAGGGAGACCACAATTTTTCAGACAGCCACCCTCAATCACCACAGCCACAACGGCAAGGAAGCTCTCCCCTTGGGCCTATTCTCCCTCTGTAGCATCTATTTATGCTGGCCAAGCATCTTTCCTAGGGCTGTGCAGAGCTATTATTTTGGAGGAGGTTTATTATTTCATGTGTTGTTAGCTGTGTCCTTCATGCTCCCAGACAAAAGCGTGCTCCTTCTCTCCCAGACTGACAAGTCTACATTACTGACTCTGGGAGTGCCATCTGAATTTAGGTTTGCCTGCCCTGCTTTCCTGTATGGAGCAGTTTGTGAAGGAATAGGACCACAACCACAACAGCTGAGGAGGAAAGACTCCTTGGCATATTTGAAAATGTGTTGGATGGTGGGGTTTTGGTGAAGTGTTGTTTTTTTGGTATTTTTTGGGGGGTTTTTTTGTTTTTTTTTTTTTTTTTCTTTTTTTTAATGTTACTTTTGTGAGTTTATAATTCAGTAGTAGCATGACTCACTTTTTTCCTGAAGATGGTAGGAGGAATGTGTCAGTCTCATTACTGCTCCTGGGCTTTGCTAGAAGGCAGCTTACTTTTTAATCGCCGTGGTTAGACATGGCCTTCACTGGAGGCTTTGGGACTGACACCGACCTGCAGCTGCAGGCACAAGGAGTAGGTACAGGACATGCTATCTTGGGCTGCAGTACCAGGTATCACTAGCCAGCAGCTGGGACTGCCTGCTCTGAGCAGTCCAGTGCCTGTCAGTGGCACTGTCCCCAACCCTTGGTCTCTCCTTGGTTGAATATTGCTTCTCTGACAACCATGTCTTCCTTGCTCTGTATCCCAGTCCAGACAACAGTTCTCACACCGGGGTTTTGACACGGCAGGAGGAGGCTGTAGTTCTCCAGTAGGCATGCCCGGGCCCACAGAGGAACATTTCATTTGACCATGGCTTTATTTTGTATTTATTCAATTGTACTGACACATACCACCCTGCATGTTCAGCTAAGAAATGGAGAGGCTTGCTAAAGCTCTGAACATAGCCAAGCATGTAGCTATGTTTTATTTTCTGCTGGTATTGGGAACTCTTGATAACTATTGCAAAACCTGTATTGATATTTAAATGATTAATACATTCTAAATAAAAATGTTTGCATTAGTCCCTTCTAAAATGTTATTGTGTGAACCAAACTAAAATGCATGGAGATCCACTTCATTGGCCAAGTTTACTCTAAAAAGTCATTTTATAAATGGCGCCACTCAGAGGCTGCTTTAAATTAGAGAAAGATGAAAGGCATTCTATCCTTCAGACACCCTCAGCACCGTGAGCCTGGGGGATGCTGGACTTTTTGGGGCCCGTGCTGTGCCTGACAGCAAGCTCACACAGGGACCACCCATCCTTGCTGATAGGCTAGGGTGAGCTTGAGGCCCCCTTGATAGCCTTGGAAGGGGAATGTAGAGGAGCACCTCCTTGCTGCAAATGTTTTACCACCCAGAGCTCCAGAGGGAAACGTGTTTTAGCTCAGAGCTTAACCTGTCCCTGGGCCCAAACCCTGCATGTGCCAAGCTGCCGGCCAAAGGCAGCATGGCTGGGGGTGAGCAGGACTGGCCCTTGCTCAGCCCCTGCCCCTGCTCCTGCAGGCACCACGGCTGCTGCTGGAGTGTGAGCCAACTGTGAGCCAAAGCCCAAGGTAGCACGTGGGCAGCGGGGCTGGGGGTGCCCGTGCTGCGGAGTTTCCACTGGAGCAGCCTCCTGGGGTGATATTTTTATTCCTTTTTCAATTTCCTGAGAAGCTACCACATCTGTTGCAGCAGAAACGCTCGGAGGACTTTGGTCTTGCCAGGTCTTTTGGGCACAAGGTTTGGGAGCGCCCTGTAAAAGGTAAGGAAATGCTGCACCTTCAATGCAAAGAGACAAAAAGAATAACGCACAGAGATAATAGAGAAGTACATGTTTATGTGTGAATTACTGAGTGGTACAAGAATATGAGTTAACACAAGCAGTTCCTCAGTGCACACCAGCGCCCTGCATCTTTGCCACTTGAAGATCTCTGGTGGAAATCAACACGGAGAATGTCACGCTGAAAACCTGCTGCTCACAGACCTGCAGAGCCCATCTCCACTCCTGACCTCGCCGCAGCACTTGGCGTGTCCAGGGAGTGACGCGGGACTGGGGGAGACTGGGTGAGCCCTATGACACCCTCAGCCCCTCGCAGGCAGCAGGTAGCTCCTGCTGCTGCCTCACAGGCTTCAGCACTCCCCAGGGCTGGGACCGGGCATCACGGGCAAAGCCCTGCCTCAGCATGAGGGGGAGAGCTGGGTGACTCCCACCGTGGCCGGTGGGTGAGGTGCGAGGGCCTGGGTCAGTGAAGTAACCAGAAAACCCGTAACGGCAATCTCCCGGCACCAACCAGAGGGCTGCAGCCGCCCGGGGCCCTCCCGCCCAGGCCCCTGCGGTGAGGAGCAGGAGCCGGGGCGG